AAACATCATAGTAATAATAAAATTGGAATTTTAAAAAAGATTCAATAGATTTGGGGCATAATTTTAACATATAGTATAGCCTCTCTAATGTTTGTTTACTTTCAAATCTATATGCCATGAGATAAATTTTAAAGATTTACTCTCTACATAAACACCCAACTTTAACCACTTAAAAGTTAAATAAAAGTTGTTCTACTTCATCCACTCTATGCTGCAAAAACAACGGTAAGCATTTCAAAAGTGGTCTACAGAGATACAAAAATACCCATGGATTATACCTGATGTTTGTAGGGTCTGCTTTTGATAGATAATTTTGCATTTTGTGTTTAATATAGTACTTGATAGGAAGAAAAATGTACAGTATTTGTTGTGGCTCAATTGCAATTGTAAAACTCACTGTGACATGGGTGAGAGTTTAATGAAAATGATACACAATTATGTATGCATGGCTTTTCAGTTCTATCTGTGCAGATATAAAATCATAAAATACACTTTAATAGAAAATGTAGATAATACAGAAATTAAGTGCTGATTTTTGGGTGGTCTGATGAGTAAATCCAATGTCAAAAGGTAACATCTTTACTCTGAATTCTATCAAATTACTATGCTATAAATTAAGTGGAACAATTAATTTGAATACAACATAGAATTTTATATGCTCTTAAATATAAATAAAGTAGAAAAGACCTAAAGGAACTGGAAAATTTTATCTGAAGCCAACTAAAGAGCATTGCAGAGAAGGATGAACGACCATCTCTTCCCTTTTCCCTACTAGGTATGACAGACACTTCAAAGCAAACAAGAGAGACAGATCAGGTATGAAAGAAGAACTGTCCTGACATGACTGAAAGGCAGACAGGACAGGGACAGTTAGCATGAACCATGAGGGGTTTGAAGAGAGGAACAGCAGGTGTTCTGTCTCTGTGGGCACACAGGGTGTTCTTGTGCCCTGAGGGCGCCTGTAGAGAAGCCTCCTTCTGATGGGAATCTTTGTGTGATTGACAGCTCAGGAAGTAACAGGCTAGACAGGCATTATCAATGAGCATAGTCAGGAAGGGATCCTGTAAGGTGGTTTGGGGCAAAGTTTGCATAGTTCATAATCTAAAAAAAAAAAAAAGTTAAAATGCAATTTTATCTTCTGGAAAACAAAAACCACCACAACCCACTGCTAGTCAAGGGTGTGAACATAGAAAATTATATCCTAAGAGATTCCTGGGGTCTGTGGGGAGTGTCACACACTTCTAGAATGACAGGTCCAGAATACAACTAGCATACATAAGAATCTATCTTTTAAGGAGTTAAGGATAAAGCAATTATACGTTTAAAAAAAAGTCTGTGGGTAGTTGTGTACTAACATACACATGACCAGTACTAAGCTCAACACAGGTTTATAAAATATGGCATAAATACAATACAATATCAAATACTAGTGAGTGACTCCCAATGAAATATGTCTATAAATATAAAAAGGAAACAAATGCTTATTAATTTTTTTCCATTTTAAATGACTAGTTAACAGAGACTAAATATGCAGTATAACAGTTGCAACCTACCAGGTATTCCCTTAGGATTTAGAAGTCAAACTTGAAAATATTTTAAGTAAAAATATTTGCCAAAATTTGTGATAATTCCCACTGACTATTTGAGTGTTCCTTCTCTACTTTCTCATTCAGAACCAACATACAGTTTCTGGAACAAGAACACATAAAGTAACTACACCAACCTACTTTATATTTTTTTCTACATCTTACTTAGCTCTCTGGTTTAACAATTTTTCTAACACTGTTCAAAGCAGAAATTTTAAAGATGGAGTCAAAGGGTTGACAAGACTGAAAATTTACTTTTTAGGAGTCTCTGTCCCCACAGCTTCCCTCACTGTTTTCTTAAAATTTACTTTGCCTTTAGTTCTGCAATATAAGAATACTAGAAGATAAGTGAGGTGATTTTAAGATGTAGGTTGAATTTTGTACTGAATTAGTAACTGTTTTTTAAGCAATAATGATTGCAGACTTTGTTATGATTACCTAACTTCTCAAGTCATTAAGGTATCTGGCGTGGCTTATATACAAGCCACAAGTCTGCTGGACTACAAAATGTCAGTACATTACCCATCTGTCCATAAAGAATTCATCTATGTGTGTGGATGAAAGAGATGTGTAGAAACAGACCTGGAATTTTACCCCAGGTAAACTTGGACAAATTGGTTACTTTCTCTTAATTTTTGTTTCCTTGTTTGTAAAATATGAACACTAATTAAAATATGATTATTCTGAAGATGAAAAAAATAGTGTTTGTATATGCCAGTTTTTAGTATATGTCTTCACAAATTACTACGGTAAAAATGTTTTTAAATTAATACATTTAAATTTTTATTTAAATCATTTTATTCTATACATGAATCCAAATCAAGTTCTTTCCATTACTTAGTTCTGATATACAATTAGAATTTTAAGATTTATTTTTATTTTTTTAATTATGTGTACGTGTGTACGTGTGTGTGTATAGTGTTATATGCATGTTATTGGAGGCCACCAGAGGGAACTGGATGCAGGGATAGTTGTGAGCTGCTATGTAGCTGCTGTGAACTGAACTTGGGTCTTCTGTATGAGCAAAAAGCACCCTTAACTGCCTTGCCATCTATCCAGCCCCAGAACTGGCATTTTCTTAAGGGAGCTGACACTGCACTCTGATGTCCTGTTAGGCTGCTTTAAGATTATAATACTGTCCAGGGAAATATCTTTGACCTGAATGACTTTTATTCAAAAGGTCCAAAATTATTTTTTTTTAAATGTGAAATGTTTTGGTAAATTCAGTTTCAGCTTCAAGAGTCAGATAAATAAAGCTAACAAGTAATTTAAGTTATTAAAGGAATTTGTGTGCTGTGTACTATAGATTTCAAATTTTCTGGGTATTATAGATTTCAATATTTATTAAAATGACCTATACTTTCTACCTTTCCTATTTTCCAAGCAGTTATCATATATCAGTGAAAGGAATTATTTGTTTTAAATATATTTGCATGAGATGGGAAACTATACTTATTTCTTTTAATCTGCATACTAATTTTTAAAGCATTTTATAAATGCATTAATCATTACAGGCTGTTGAAAAATTCACAACTGACTGGTACTAATACAGACTACATCAGAATGAAAGACAATTTTCTGACAGTAAAAGATCAGCTAGGCTCAAAGGGTCATTTATTTTCAATGCTTCAAATTGGAAATGGAAAGAATATAACGTTTTTTGATTTAAAGTTGTCCCACAACTGAAAACACAAAAATCCTGAAATGCATCTGAAAGCCATTTGGACAAGAGAAATAAGTGAAAGACACAGGTTGTTACATAGATTAAAAAACAAACAAACAAACAAAAAAAAAGTGATTAACTGAAAGAAACTGTATGCTAGAAGGCTAAAACATATACTAAGAATCTGAGTTCGAAGCCAACCTGGTCTACAGAGCGAATTCCAGGACAACTAGGGCTACACAGAGAAACCCTGTCTCAAAAAAAAAAACCTGAACCCTTGACAAGAAGGCTAATAAGTCACACAAGGGAGAAAGGGATCCCGGGCACAGATAGGACAATCTTAATTCTAAGAACTGAGAACTCCAGTCAGCAATCCAGCTGAATAAATGTTGTCACATCAAAGAAGCACAGCAGATGGCAAGTCAAAGAAGCTTACAGGAGTGAGACACAAGCACTATGGACAGTGTGCTGGGAAAAGTGGGCTGTCTTAGTTAAATAGCAAGGGCAGAGGGTTACAAATAAGAAAGTGGCGTTCAGGACATGAGAACCGAAATCAAGAATTTGGAGATTTGTACTTTTAACCTTTTTATCTCCCCTGCAAAAATTTAAAACTCAATCAGATAATGGATATTAAGGATTCTGAGAATCTGAAAACACAAGAACAATTTGTTTGCAAATGAGCAGCAAACAGTGTTTAAGGAAAATTCCCGTATTTGACAGAAAGTGCTTTATTAAGACACAGAGCCTGTTTTACAGAATATTAATAACAAAAGAAGCAAAGGGAGTGTGATACTGGTATGTTATTACTAAAAGGCATCTCTGCTACAACATAAAAAATCCTGCTCAAAGAAGAAGATCGTGTGAAACTGGTAAAAGGAGAAATTATGAAAACAGGAACAGCAAAGAAAGTTGTTGAAAGAAAGTAAATCTTAATCTGCTCAATAGTCTTAAATTTGGCAGCAAGCCCTTCTTCCATGGGATCGGGCGTGATAGTTGACTGAGCTTTCCACACAGTGTTTTAGGTCATGGGAAGAGGAATCATTTTCACAGAAGCTGACAGGCTTTGCTGGGAAACAATAAAAGATACTATAAATTCAAAGCTATGAGTTTTTCTGACGTTATTATAAATAGGAAATGTAATTTAATTTGTGATGATCAGAAAAATCAAAGTTCCTACACTATATCACCTTTCCCATCTACTTATTTAAAAATTCCATGTAAGTTTAGTTCTATAAATTTTCTGATAAAAAGTATTTCTTAAATAAATGAATATGGAACATGAACATACATAGAAAAATAAAATGGAAAAGGCTAATATTTGCTTTCTTCTGTTTTGTTCTATGCTCTCTTATGAACTTCCAAAATCAGAACCAAATATACTTATTAAAATGCCTGGAAGGAAATACTTAGTATTTGGAAGGTTAAAAGACAATGGCATTTCAAAAAAGTTTTGGTAAGTCCTTTTTGGAGCCCTTTGGACAGTGTCTATGCATTCTCCCTAAGGCAAAAGGAAGAAAATGTTCATATTATTGAAGAATGGGGGGAAAGTTTCAGCAGTGGAAGAATGTGTGCCCTGCTAAGAAGAGAGCTGGTAAGAAAGCTTCTTTGTGGTCTAAAGACTATTGCACATTCAAATAAAATACAAGAGAGAAGAATGTCCAACAGACAATATGTTCAAAAACACATCAACATATAAACTAGCTTGTGCCCAGAAATAAAACACGGATACTAGACACCACTGCAGTCGAACCTGCCTTAATTTGCTTCTGTTTTAATGACCTTTAGAAAATGGTCCAAACTGATTATCAGCAATACATTGTTTTTGATTTTTTTCTTAAAAAAATATTTTGAGACCACTTTTGATACGCACACATATAATGTGGTCATAACAGACAAATATAACTTTAGCAAGACTAAACAAAAGTGCAAAACTTAAAAAACAAAATTAAAAAATATGGAAGCATAAGCTAAAATTTTCTGCATAGCTGAAATCTATTTAAAGCAAGTCCTTGTTGCAGGGGTGGGAAGGGGTGCTGACAGGAGGTTAAAGCAGTTTTTTTTTTAATGTCTTCTGCATGTTTAAATGATGCAAAAAAATAATTTCACTCCATAGGCTTGAAAACATCTCACAGACAATTCATCCCTATATCTTTAGACACCATGGTTGTGGCAGTGCCTCCTTCTGCAAGGTACACAGCAGTGCTAGACTTAGAATGAACTGCTCTGTCCCTGCCATTGTTGACCTCACAGTCCAGTGGTTCAGTAGAGATGACCCAGGTGGAGGGGCGCCACCGCTTAAGAGAATATGGAGTTTTCACACGTCTCTTGATCTTTTCACCTGATCCCGATTTTCCATCTTGTGTTGACTCACCTACTGAAAATAAAGTATAAGAAATGAGCTGCATGAAAGGACAATACTTAGAAGTAAAGGGTTGCCTGGATATAGATAATGCAGTTGACAGAGTGCTTGCCTGGCATGCACAAGGTCCTGAGCTCAATCTCAGTACCACAAAAATTCCGGTGGTGGTGCTTATCTGCAATCCTAGCACTTTGGAAGTAGAAGTAGGAATATCAGAAGCTCAAGACCATCCTGGACTCCCTACTTACTTACTACACAGGCCAGCCCGAGCTATGTAAGACTATTTTTCTTTTTGCCCCTGAGACAGAGTTTCTCTGTGTAGCTTTGTAGACCAGGTTGGTCTTGAATTCACAGAGTTCTGCTTCTGCTTCCCAAGTGCTGGGATTAAAGGCATAAGCCACCACTGCCAAGCTTTTCTAAGACTTTAACCAAACCAAACCAAACCAAACAGGATAGGAAAATAAAGAGGCTAAATTTCATGAACAGGTCCAACCATTTATCTGTAGAATCAAATGATGGATATTTCTTGAAATATATGATGCTAAGCAATGTTTTTCTAAGCAAAATTCAACCAAATCATTTTTGAGACTTAACTAAAAAATAACTAAAATTCACAAGAACTGAGAAAATTCAAAATTCTTTTTTTGTTTGTTTGTTTGTTTTTTTTTTTTTGAGACAGTTTTTTTCTGTGTAGCCCTAGAAATCTCTCTGTAGACCAGGCCGGCCTGGAACTCGCAGATCCACTTGCCTCTGCCTCCTGAGTGCTGGGACTAAAGATATGTGCCACCACTTCCCAGCAAGAAAATTCTAAGTCCTTTTGTTTTGGTATAGACTTCAACTTGCTAAAAATAAAAACAGTTACTATTTGACTTAATACTGAAAGGTGGGTTATGTATGGGGTGGGTGATGTACTCCTGTAATTCCAGGTTCTCAAGAAGCTGAGGCAGGAGGAAATTAAATTCAAGCCCAGCTTTTGGCCACAATGAGTTACAAGTCAAATATCACCACAAAAGGCCTTTAACATGTAATTTTTTGTTGTTGGTTTTTGAGACAGGTTTTTCTGTAGCTTTGAAGCTTGCCCTGGAACTCACTCTATACACCATGCTGGTCTTGAACTCACAAAGATTTGCCTGCCTCTGCTTCCCAAGTACTGGGATTGAAGGTGTGCACATGAAGGAAGCAACATGTAATAATTTTAAGATAGATGAACATTTCCCCTTAATTCTCTGTTCACATATTTGACAAGATGCTTTATGGAGACAGAAGCAAGCAGGGTGTACCAACTAGTTTGTAATGTAAACCACTCAAGTAAAAGGCTAGGTTTTCCTTTCTTTTTTTTTTTCAAGACACTCACTCTGCAGACCAGGTTGGCCTCATCAAACTCAGAGATCTTGTGCCTCTGCTTCTTGAGTGCTGGGATTAAAAGTGTGTGCCACTACCCCCTGGCTGAGATTTTCTTTTCTTTGTGGTGCTGGAGATGAAAACCTGGGCAAGTTTTACCTCTGAGCTACATGAACTGCCAAAGGCTAGATATTTACTTTTTTGAGACCTTTTTTCAATCCATTCTGTAGTTTAAGAAAGCATAAGACATGACTTAATTTTTCTTTCATAAATACAAACAGAAGAGAAGCCATTTTATGTAATAGTGACTGTTCAGAGACTGGTAAGCTCCCCTGTCTTGGGCTATAACTCTATTAGGGCAGGACACAAAAACAGCAGCTTAACTGTCTATGCTCCACTCCACGGCACTGCTTTGTTTAGTATATGAGACTCAATAAAAAGATGGCTAAGAAACTGACAACAACTTTAGAGTTTTCTGAAACTTCTCTTGACCTCTATGACTTACTGAGAGCTGGATGTGGTGGCACATGCCTTTAATTCCAGTACACCATGAGTTTAAGACTATCCTGGTCTATATAGCAAGTTCCAGGGCATCCAGGCCTACATATAGAGACTTTGTCTAAAACAAACAAACACAAAATACATAAACCTAAATGTTAATGTGTTTTAGAAATAAAAGTGGCTACTTGGTGCTCTGACACTAATAAGTACTGATTTAATCTCATTTGTCATAAAAGTATGTGAACCACATCATAAAAAAAGCCACCAAGTAAAAAATAGACTAAGTTGGTAGTTTTTCTGACTATTGTGATACTAGCTTTTTAATTATCAATAACCAAAGTGTGTGTGGGGGTAGATAGAAAGGAAAAGAAACGACCACTTGCCCCCACATTATGTAATTAATTTCGAGGCCCAGTCACTTTGTCTCTGGAAGTTATAAAGGTAAAGAATCCTAAAGGGTACTCTATGATCCCTCCACTTACTCTGTATACTGCTGCCATCCAAGATATTTGTGGCTGAAAGATCCAGAGAATTGGGTCTCTGTGCTCTTCTGGGCTTTGTTGGCCCAGGATCTGCAACTGTGCTTGTAACACCCTGTGTAAGTACATCTTGTTCTGAACATGGATTGCTGTTGTTGTTATTGGAATTAGTTCGGCCACCTTCTAGTGGCCGTTCTCTCCTGTCTACCAAACGATCCAGAACCCCTTCGTCATGGCCAGCTTGTTGCTCTCGTCTCAGTAAAGGTTCATGCTCATCAGGGCTGGAATTAATATTCAGACGGGTATCCTCACCAATAAATTGGTTCTGCAGCATTTCTTGAGCCCTATGTGCCACTATGTTGGCTGCCTGGCCAGATGGCACTGCCCCATTGGCATACTGGGTTGTGGCAGCATGGGAATTAACACTGTGGCTTCTACCTGCCACACCATTCATAGTTACTGTCACCACATGAGGTTCTGCTGCATTGATTGTATTCATCTTGGCAACTCCAGTTTCTACTTGCTTCAAGTTTGATTTGTGCTTGTTGCCAAATTTTAGCCGGGGTTCTTTTGTTGAATTTTTGGTGTTCAAAGGCAAACTAGTAGGTCTCTTAGGAAGGTTCTGCTGCTTAGGGAGAGGATAGATTTGGGCAGGTGGAACATCAGGAATTAAACATGCTTGGCCATTTGCAGCCTGTGTGAAGTCCTGCTGTCCAGTCACTTCCACTGCAAGCTTTATGAGTGGATAAAGCAAGCTGGAACTGGTACTGCTCAATGGGTCTGGCCCACTGAACTGCTTGAGAGAATGCTCCATGAGGTTCTCGTCAGAGCTCTCCTTGAGGTTCTTATCAACTTCTTTTGGGTCTAGCTTATTGGTCTCCAAGTCTTCTTCTGTCAGCTGTAAGCAGACAGGGGTTGGCCCCATTGACTGTGCAACATTTGTGGCATGTAAATTTGTTTCATCTGGGTACGGCATCTCAGATATAGTGGTCATGCCGGTACTTGGAGTGAGGCCAGTGGTGTTAGTGGTGGTTGTGTTTGTGGATAGGCTGGTGACACTTGTTTCAGGGCTGGGGATTCGAGCTTGTGCTTGCTGTCGTTCATAATTAATTGAATTTCGGTTCTTTTCTCCTATAGTCAAAGGTGTGCTGGACATTGAATGCTCAGAGGAAATATTCTTCACAATGCTGTCAGTGTGGTGTATGGAGTCTTCAATATACGAAGAAGAAGAATAATCAGGATAAGGCCCAATTTTTGGCACACGCCTATTATGTGATAGGTTGCTTGAAGAAAGAAAAAAGAAAAGGCATGACAATAAGAACATAAACTTATAACAAATTGTCCATTCTAAGTAAACACCACTTATTTCAAAGCCCAACTGTTTTCTCCTCCCCACCCCCACCGACCCTCAGACAAGGTTTCTCAGTATAGTTGACTGTCCTGGAATTCACTCTATAGATAAGGCTAGCCTCAAACTATCTGCCTCCCATGTACTGGAATTAAAGGTGTGTGCCACCACCTCTCAGCTTCAGTTACTACTTTTTATTTTACACTTTGCATTCTTTTATTGCACTTATTTACTTAATATGTATTGATGCATATAGAGATCAAAAGTCAACTTGTGGGAGTCAGTTCTCTTCCAACACGTGGGTTTCAGAAATCAAACCAGGTTGTCAGGCTTAGCAGCAAGCACTTAACCTGCCAAGACATCTCACTTGCTGTGCTTTACTCTTAACTCACATTCACGAGTTACTTCAAAATCCTAGTAAGTGTTAACAGCTTGCTGAATACAAATTTCATGACATTTTTACATAAAATCTGTAAGATTATGTGAAAAGTCTATAGTTCCAGATAGATAGAATTTTTATGGATGCTCATTATTTTGGTTTACAAGAGTTAATTTAGGGGCTGGAGGAATGATTCAGTGGTTAAAAGGCCTAACTACAATTTGATTCCCAGCACCTACATGATAGCTCATAAATGCATGTAATTCCACTCCCTGGAGACACACTGCCATCTCCAGGCCTTGGCAAGCACTGCAAGAACATGGAGCACTCACATTCAGACACTCATCTACATGAAATAAAAATAAAATCTCAAGCTGGGTGGTGGTTGCATGACTTTAGTCCCAGCACTTGGGAGGCAGTAGCAGGTGGATCTCTGTGAGTTCAAGGCCATCCTGGTCTACAGAGCAAGTTCCAGGGCAGTCAAGGCTACACAGAGAAACCCTGCCTTGAAAAAACAAAAAAAAACAAACCCAAAAAATGCTACCTTAAAAAAATACATAAAAGAGTTAATTCTCAAAATCTCTCCTATAATTTTATAATATCAACAAATAAACTTTTTATGAATTGTATACTTATACAAGTAGTATTGTTCTGTAACTAGAGGAACTATGGGATATATTTACTTTGTATTTCTGGAACCCTAGGCCCAATAGTATATGCACAACAAATATGTCATAAATTAGGTTCAAATAATGAAGTGATAAAAAGAGCATAGAATTTGTTCATTTTCCCCAAACACCTTCATTTAAGAGGCACAGACTAACAATGGAACATACCTTCCTGTGGTAGCAACTACCAGTGTAAGCTATAGAGGCATAGGACGACACTCAGAGGAACAAAAAGCTAACCAAGCAAGAGCTCGGCAGGAGAAAGAATAGGCAGGGCTGGCAGGCAGCGAGAACAAGGAGGAGGAGTGAGGATCAAGAAAAGGAGAAGGGAAGGAGGATGCCAGGGGCCAGCCACCTAGCCACCCTGCCACACAGCCAGACACAGAGTAAGAAGGAAAGAAAGATATATACAATAGAGAAAGGTAAAAAGCCCAGAGGCAAAATGTAGCTAAAGAGAAAAGGGATAATTTAAGCTAGAAATAAGCCAAGCTAAGGCCGAGCATCCATAAGCTAGAATACACCTCCATGTATTTATTTGGGGACTGGGTGGAAAAGAAATCAGGTACAATTCAGAGCTTCTCTTCAGTCACTGAGGTGCACAACTGGCATCATCACTCCTGGGAAGGGACAGCTCTAGACTGTCATGCTGTTATGTAATTATTTAAAATCTCATGAAGTGATCAAGTACTGGGAACATTAACAGATGAAAGCATTACAGAAGAGAATCAGCTGAAGGAAAAGAGAGAGGGTCCATAAAAGAAGACTGCTGTATTATAAGAGAACAACAGCAAGGAAGCAAAGGCTGTTATACAACCACGAAAAGGGAAGCTAAGGAGATAAGGAGAGGTTAAAGCACAGTAAGAGGAAGCCTACAATGCAAATGATTATTGAATGAACTGTTGTATACCTAGGAGACACTGGAGGTGAGAAGAGCCATTGTAAGTAGAGGTGACTAACATAAAGGGGGGGGGCAATAGATACACAGGGTTTCTTTTCATCAAAATTATTCAAAAATATTTCTTTCTTTCTTTTTTTTTTTTTTTTTTCAAGACAGGGATTCTCTGTAGCTTTGGATCCTGTCCTGGAACTCACTCTGTAGATCAGGCTGGCCTTGAACTCAGAGATCTGCCTGCTTCTGCCTCTGAGCACTAGGATTGAAGGTGTACCACTGCCCAGCAATTACAAAATATTGAAAGTAGGAGCTTGTGGCACATACCTTTAATCCCAGCACTTGGGAGGCAGAGGCAGGCAGATCTCTGCGAGTTCAAGGCCAGCCTAGTCTACAGAGCTACACAGAGAAAACCTGTCTCAAAAAAACTAAATAAATGTGGGAATGTTCTAAAGACTTTTAAACTTCATCTATTTCATGTATTTGCCTGCACATGCATGTGTGGACCATGTTCATGTGTGGCACCTGTATAAGTTAGGAGAGATAGGAGAGGGGGTCAGAATCCCTGGAACTGGAGTTACAGATGGTTAGGGACCACCATGTGGGTGGGTGCTGGGAACTGAACTAGGGTCTTCTTAAAGAGCAACAAGGGCTCTAACTGAGCCACCTCTCTAGTTCCTTCATCTGATTCTTGACAGACATATAAACTGCATGTTTTACAGATTATGGGGCAGCAGAAATAGAATGAAAATGGAAGCAGAAGACTTTTCTAACCCTTGTAAAGTGAGAGCACTTCTATTTAGAATAGCTAGTCTCTTTCTATTCTCCTTGATTTGTGATATGCAAGACACACAGCTAACACAGGAAATGTCTCATAAGATCATATTCACAGTGGGGTAGAAAGAAGAATTAGTGTGCTCTTTAAGGGAGAGTACTGGAGAGGCTGAAAGTCCTAGTGTGCGGTGAAACAGCAGGAGATAATACGCAGGCAAGTCACAAAGTCACAGTTCTGCATGCTTTAACAAATAAAAGAACGCTAATAAAAAACAAGAGATATACCACAAAATGTATGTAGAAGCGGTTATAAACTTTTTACAACCAGGAAAACATTTTACTTTTAACACACACACACACACACACACCGCCACATGCACTTTTCCCTTTTGGTTTTTTGAGACAAGGTTTCTCTGTATAGCAACAGGAATCCTGGAACTTGCTCTGTGGACCTCAAACTCAGAGATCTGAATGCTAAAGGCGAGTGTTAGCATGACTGGCTAATAAGAGTAATTTCTGTTACTGTATCTTTAGATATAAAATTACAGATTCACATCAAATAAATATTTTCAGTACAAGAATGGATATACAGAGGGGCTAGAGAGAAGGCTCAGTGCTTAAGAGCATGCATCCTCGTACAGGACCTGAATTCAGTTCACAGCACCACAGTTCACAACTGCCTAAGATCCCAGCTCTAGAGGGATCTAATGCCTCTGGCCTCCAGACACCTTAAAAAGACTGGGAATACTGAAACAACAATGAACCTTGTACTATACGAGCTACCACACTATTAGGCTGGCTTAGCAGCGTTTATTTCCTGTCCTTTACTTGGTCTCAGTTGCCAACACCATTAGATAGCCACAGGGTCTTACCGTTCATTCTGCATGGCAGTAGACATTGGGTTGACTGTTGGGCTCACAGACTTGTTTCTTTCCCATATCATCATAAGTTCAGCCATTCTCTCCTCAGCACACTGTGCAGTGAGCCGAGCCTCTGCATCCTGATCCCAACAGTCTTCGATTGTTTCCTTGAGTGATCTCACTGCCTATAACACAAAATAGACATCAAACAACATGCTATTTTTAACTGTCTTCAGGATTTTAATTTAAAATGTCAAAGAAAGTCAGGTTATATGTGTGTGTGTATGTGTGTGTATGTATGTATGCATGTATGTATATATGCATGCATGCATGTATGCATGGTTGTTTTGGTTTTGTCTTTTTCCCCCCCTTCTAACCCTTCTTCCAAGCCCTGGCTGGCTTGGAACTCATTATGTAGACCAGGCTGGCCTCCAACTCAGAGATCTACCTGCCTCTGCCCCTGAGTGTTGGGATTAAAGATGGCTACCATGCCAGGCTCCAAACTAATATTTTAAAAATATGCTGAGAGGTGGGGGTGGTGTGTGCCTTTAATACCAGCACTCAGGAGGCAGAGGCAGGTGGATCTCTGTGAGTTCAAGGCCAGTTTGGTATACAAAGTGAGTTCCAGAACAGCCAGGACTGCTATACAAAGAAACCCTGTCTCAAAAAAACCAAAATAGATAAATAAATAGATAAACTAAAAAATTAGATATTTTGAATGTTGCAGTAGCAAAAAAAAAAAAATAGTTATCTTAAGTATTATATGGTGTATGTACTCTCTCTCTCTCCCTCCTTTCTTTCCTCCCTCTTGACTGGCTTGTATTAGGGACCTCCTTAAATCTATTTTAAGTTTAAGCCTGAAATGAAGCATACTTAACTAAACGTAATATACTAAAAAAATAAGATGATCTATGTAGCCCTGCATGTCCTGAAATTCAGAACAGGCTGATCTCAAACTCAGATATCTACCTGTCTCTGCCTCTTGAGAGTTGGGTTTAAAGATGTGTACCACTATGCCCCAGGTCCTTATTTTATTATTTATTATAATGTCTATTTATCTATTTAGGTTTTAGAGACTTAATTAAGCTACATCTATAGCCCCAAATGTCCAATTTCAAACAAAAAAGAAATTGCAAAGGAAGCCAAGTACAGTGTTATACTTGAAATTTTAGTATTTGGGAGGGAGGTAGAGGAAGGAGGATCAGGAGTTCAAGAATAGTCTTGATCCTAGAATAAGTTCAAGAACAGATTGGGATACAGGAGATCCTGCCTAAAAACAAAAAAGAAAAAAATTAAAAAAATAATAAAAAAATAAATAAAAAAGCAAAGAAACAAGAATGTATTGCCTATTTACAGGAAAATAAAATCTTAACAGAAATCGAGGAAGTACACACATTAGAGGTATCAAACATTTCAAGTGAACTACCTTAAATATGTTCAAAGAACTAAAAAAATAATGGGTGAAGAACTAAATGTAAGAAAACCATTCTTTTTTCTTTTTTGTTTTTTTTGAGACAGGATTTCTCTCTGTAGCCCTGGCTGTCCTTGAACTCTGAGAGATCTGCCTGTCTCTGCCTCCTGACTGCTGGGATTAAAGGCATGTTGTCACCACGCATGGCTAAGAAAACAATGTTTAAAGAATTTATTTATCAGGGATTGACAGATGAGAACTGAACCCAGATCCTCTGCAAGAGCAGCAAGTACTCTTAACTACTGACCTTTCTCTTCAGCACCCCCACCCTAAGAAAGTAATGTAATAAACAGAGCAGCAATAAAAAATAGACACTGTTTTTAAAAAGACTTAAAATGATATTTTAAAGCATAATAACAACTATCAGTATTTATTTGAGTGGTTCAACATCAGATAATAAGCAGACAGAAAAAAGAACCTGTGAATTCGAAGATGGAAAAACAAAGTTATTCAGTCTGAGGACAGAAGTCAAAAGAATGAAGAAAAAGGAACAGAAACTAGGAGACTTCTGAGAAGTAATTCCCAACACAGGAGCAAACATATTGATACACAAAATAGAAGTTCCAGAAGGGAGGAAAAAGGGCAGGAGGAATACGTGAACACATGATATGAAATTCAAGTTTATCCATATACACAAGAAACTTGAATTCTAGGTAGAATGAATCCTATAGCTCCATGATAAGACAACTTACAATTAAAGTGCCATAAACCAAAACTGAACAGAGATCCTGACAATGAGATCAAAAGCCACTGGAAATCAGAAGGCATGAGCAAGGCATATTTAAGCACTGAAATAGAAAACAACTGTTAAGAAGAATTACATATTGAGGCTGAAGAGATGGTTCAGCAGTTAAGTGCACTGACTGCTCTTCCAAAGGTTCTGAGTTCAATTCCCAGTTATCAGATGGTGGCTCACAGCCATCTACAATGAGATCTGGTGCCCTCTTCTGGCATGCGGGCATGAATGGAGGCAGGATATGTAATAATAAATCTTTTTTAAAAAATCACATATCAAATAATTTCTTCAGTAATGAAGAAATAAGAGTCCCAGATATATTGAATCTAGGAAGTCACTGTGTAAAGAGGCCCTGTAAGAAAGTTAAATGGGCCTCTCCACACTGAAATTTAAAAAGTAATTACAGATATCTGTAAGAGTCGATAAGCTGTTTTGTTTTGGTTTTGGTTTATTTCGAGACAGGGTCTCACTATGTAGTTCTGGCTATCCTGGAACTCACTGTATAGACTAGACTGGCCTCCAACTCACAGAGACCTGCCTGCCTCTTTCCCAAATGCTAGAGAAAGAATGCCATTAAGCCACCTAAACTGCCCCAGTAAGGAAGTATATAGTTTATTAAAATAACTGCAGAGAAATATTTTTTTTTCTTTTTTGGCTGTACTAAATCAAGTTTAAATGGATTTGTTGGAAGTAAACCAAGTATTAAAAACCCCTTACATAGCATTTCTTCTAAATCAGAAGTAAAAAGTTTTCAGGTTAATCTGCGTATGTTGCACATCCTACAATGGTATGGCTGCCAACAAATACTTCAAAAGAATAGATCTTAGTTGTTTTAGTGAAATAAACAATTTAAGGAAGATGAAAAATAAAGTTGCAATTTATTATAACAAATTCTCAGAGATTTCATAGACAGTTTGCTATGAGGCTGGCAGCTCTGGGGAACCCGGGTAGAGTAGAATTCATTCTCTCACCTACTATCTGGGCCTCCTAAGGAACTGCCCAAGTTTGCACACCAAAAACTACATTGGGAGGCAATCATGTATATAAATTTAACAAGCTTTTCAATAGCCACATACTTAAAGATTTAAATCTCATTTGAGATTAATCTATTAACAAAGATGACCAATAAGGATAAAGTTCAGCCTATTTGAATGGAATTACATGGGGTTTCTCTAGTTTCTCTGATATGAAACAAATGAAAATATTCTATTCTACTGAGGTGATCTGTAACTGGGATGGGAAAATATATAGTAAAATGATTTAAATTACTAAATTTTCATTTTTTATTTAATTATAGTTAAGAAAATTAATTTGTACTAAGTATAATGATGTAATAAATACCTTCAGAAGTAATCATCATTAAAACCTTAAAAAAAGAAGAGATTACAGAGGAACTATGAAGCAATACAACATTTTAGAAATAAAAATATGATTGTAGGAATTGAAATAAAAAAATTCAATTTATTTATTGGGTGAGAATGGCAAATGTCGTGGTGTGTATGTGGTGGTCAGAGGACAATTTGCATAAGTCAGTTCTCTCCTTTCACTCTTTGGGTTCCAAGGACTGAAATACATTATCAATCTTAGTGGCAAGAGCCTTGACCTGTCATCCCACTAAAATTTAAAAAATATAATGAACAAATGATACAATAGTGCTAGTGAGAAATTAATGGATATCTCAAAAGGCAAAGCTGAACAAATGCTAACAATTAGAACAATGAACAACAATGAAAACCAGATGGAAGCTAGAGATGCAGCTTCAGTTGGTCAAGTGTTAGCATCCATGAAACCCTGAGTTAAGACTGACAGCACCACATAAATCATGGCAGCAGCATTTGTACTTGAGAAGTGAAGGCAGGAGTTCAGTTATCCTCAGCTAGAAAATTAGTATGGACTCATATATCCCTGTTTCCCAAACAAAAAAGACTTGGAATGTCAGGTAAATATCAGTTTAATGAGAATTCAAGGACAAAGAAATGTAAAGAAAGAATATCCAGAAGAAATGTGTGAAAAGAAGTGAAATTTCAAAACTGCAATGGCAAAATTGCTTCCTTGGAAAGCATTAGGAGAAGTGGCTTTGATGGAGGACATATGTCACTGGGGGAGGGTGGCCTTTGAGGTTTCAAAAGTCCACACCACGCTCAGCCTCACTCTTTTTGCCTACTGCCTCTGGATCTGATGTAAGTTTTCAGCTACTGATCAGCATCATGCCTGCCTGCCACCATGCTTCCTGCCATGATGACTATGGACTTACACTCTGAATCTTAAGCAAGCCCCCAATTAAACGTTTAATAAATTGCCTTGATCATTTGGTTTCTGCACACCAATAGGACGGTAACTAAGACCTCTCCAATATGTGAGAGGTGTAGGCAGGAAGATGAAGTGTTTAAAGTTATTCTCAGCTATGTAGGGAGTTTGAAGGCAGTCTGGGCTTAATGAGCTCCTATCTCAAAACAACAACAACAACAAATATACATATACAGAAAAACATGAAAAAGCAATGTAGGGTCTTTATGATATGGGTTGGTAGGTAAAAGCACTATTCATGCCAGCCTGACAACTTGAGTTCTGAGTTCAATCCTTGGAACCCATTTTAAAAAGGATTCAGTGTTATGCATACATGATCTCAGCACTTGTACTGTGAGATGGATGATGAGACAGAACCACCTAGAAGCTCACTGAGTACTCTGGAAGCAAGCAGTGTGGCAGAAATAAAGAGGGACTCTGCCTCAGCAATGCAGAAGGTAAGAACTGACTGCCAAGTTATCCTATGACCTCCAAACATGCACCACAGCATACACTCACCTGCCACAATAATGGAATAAGACTGGCCCACATCCAAATTCTCATTATGAAGATGGAAATTTTTTAAACATGCAAGGATTTGTAATGTCTGACGCCTAACACACAAAATAATATACATTACTTAAATGGAACTTCATCAAAAGAATAATATTATCTATAAGAGAAAGGCATAGATTTAAAAAAAAAAAAGTTTCTCCTAGGTAGAACCTAGAAAGAACAGAAAGGAAAGATGACAAGGACCCAAAGAATCTACTAGATGATGTTTAAAAAAAAAAAAAACTTTCCCAAACAGCAAGGGCTTAGAGCAATGAATACATTCCTACGAGTTCCTACGAATAAACACAATTCTAATGTTTTTGTTTCACTTAAGTTGGTTATATACCTACCTCTACACCACCACCCCCAATCTGTCTTTGACCATGTTTTGGGTTTTTTGCTTGTTTGTTTTTTGGTTTTTTGAGACAGGGTTTCTCTGTATTGCTTTGACACCTGTTCTGGAACTCAATCTATAGACCAGACTGGCCTCAAACTCAGAGATCCACCTGCCTCTGCCTCCTCAGTGCTGGGATTAAAGGTGTGAGCCACCACCGCCCAGCTTTGACAATATTTTACACCAAAGCTCAGGCTGGCCTTGAACGTGATTCTTTTGCCACGCCCAGTGATAGGATACAACAATGAATCACCAAAGCTAGGTGGCTCCTATTTTTGCTTCAAGAACATTTAGACATATCTAGTTCTAGTCAGAAGTCCTCGTTTTCTTACCAGGCTATTTTCTTTCCAGGCTTCTGGGAACTTGGGTCTCTGCTTTTCTCTAGATACAAGAACCTGCATATCCTCAAAAGTGGGATGGTTGCCAACTTCTGTCTGAAAAGCCATCTGGTATTCTGGTACAGATTCACCTGTGTATTTATAGAAAGAATGATAGAATTTCTAATTATCATAGAGGACAAAATAGAAGAGGTCTTTCTAGTACCAAATAAGCACAGAAATCATATATTTAAACCCTTTCAAGCATACATGCAAATTTCAGAGACTTTATTGTTGTTTTATTGTACTGTTACTATTAAGAATAGTCTCAATTTTACTGATAAATGAAATAGTAGAGATATTTTACTTAACTTATTCTTTGGTGTTGGGGATCAAACTCTAAGCCTTAAACATATAAAGTACATACTTGAATACTGAGCCTTGGTTTTCATTTTATTTGGGTTTTTTTTTTTTTGTTTGTTTGTTTTTGGTTTAGTTTTGTTTGATTTGGTTAGGTTTTTCGAGACAGGGGTTCTCTGTGTAGCTTTGTACACCAGGCTGGCCTTGAACTCACAGAGACCTATCTGCGTCTGCCTCCTATGTGCTGGGATTAAAGGTGTGCACCACCACTGCCTGGCAACCCTTGTTTTTAAATGCAGTGCAGTATTGTAACAACTTGGGCTCTGCTACATAGACTATAAAAACATATAATTATATATACCTTGATAGAGGGTAAGAATGTATGGACTGTTTTGACTATTCAAACAGAAATAAATAAAATCTTGCCATATTTTATAGAGTTTTTTTCAACTGGGTCATTATAACTCTTTTATTGTGCCAGTGAGATAAGGAAAGCAAACATTACTATTTTGCTGACAGGAAGATCGAAACATACAAGAGTTAAGTGACTTTTCCAAGGAAGAGATGGAACCAAAATGCCCTAACCTCCAACCCTTCTACCTCGTTATTTTAATATATTAGAGTGGCATTGAGGAGCCAGGAAGACTGTAATTCTCTTGTGTCCTTTGCCAAGATTTCCTGCCTACAGTGGTTCTCTACATGTGGGCCTCAAGCCCTGTGGCAACCTCTATTTCAAAAAATATTTATATTAAATTCATAGCAGTAAAATTGTAGCTATGAGGTCATAACAAAAATAATTTTAAGGCTAGGTGTCACCACAACATGAGGAACTGTATTAAAGGGTCACAGCATTAGGATTGTTGGGAACCACTGCTGTAGGCCACTGGATTTTATGAATTAGTTTTATGAGGTCTTCTGTATGGCTCAGTAGGTTTTATTTATTTATTATTTATTTATTTATTTCAAGGCTGGGTTTCTCTGTGTAGCCTTGGCTGTCCTGGAACTTACTCTGTGGACCAGGCTAACCTTGAACTTACAGAAAGCTGCCTTCCTCTGCCTCCCAAGTGCTGGGATTAAAGGTGTACACCACCACTGCCCAGCTTCAGTATGTTTAAAAACACACTTTATCACTTTTTTGTAAAAGTCAGAAATATTTCATCATAAGCAGCAAATTGTTCCTACTGATGGCACACACAGTTATCAAATACTGGTGATAGAATACATAGTGACATTTTAAAATTCTAGATTTAAATACTGCTTGTTAAGAGGAAAATTAAACAATGACATGGTCATTGTCATAATTTTTTTTATAGCATGGATATAGCTCAGTTGGTAGAGTGCCACCTAGCATGCAGAAGTCCTGAGGTTAGTCCCCAGCCCTGCACAAACCTGGTGTATCCCTGTAACCTTATCCCTAAGGTGGTGACAGAGAGGATCTAGTTCAGAGCCATCCTTGGCTACATAAGGAATGTGATGACAGCCTGGAATACATGAAACCCTATTTCCAAAGCAAAACAAAACTGAAGAATAATGAGATTTGATATATTCTGGCAGAATTAGAATAAAACCAATGACCTCATAAGGCATGGAATATTATCAACATTTAGAATAGTCTCAAATTTTATTGATAAATGAAATAGTAGTTTCAATGCTATATAGATACTTTACTTGTTCTTTAGTGTTGAGGAACAAACTCAAGGCCTTAAACATTCTAAGTATACTCTTCAACACTGAACCCTGGACAGTTTTTTCTTTCTTCCTTCCTTCTTTTTTTTGGGGGGGGGTGCGTTTTTGTTTTTTTGTGTCAGGGTTTCTCTGTATAGCTTTGGAGTCTATCCTGGAACTCCATTTGAAAACCAGGCTAGTCTCACAGAAATCTTCCTGTTTCTGCCTCTTGAGTGCTGGGATTAAAGATGCTAGCCACCACCACTCAGTCCTGGACAGCCTTTTGTTTTCTTTTCTTTCTTTTTCTTTTTTGGTTTTTCAAGACAGGGTTTCTCTGTGTAGCTTTGGTGCCTGTCCTGGCACCATTGCCTGGACAGCTTTTTAAAGTTTTCTACCATGGGACTGTATCTTATCCAGACAGGTGTTTTAAAATAGTTTTGACTGCTTTTAAATTTAGGAGTGAAATGTTGTAAGTAATGTTTAATACTTAAACTTATGCCTGAATTCTGATATCATATTAAGAAAATAAAGAAAAGCTGGGCAGTGATCGTACATACCTTTAATCCAGACACTCAGGAGGCAGAGGCAGGCAGTCTATGAGTTCAAGGTCAGCCTGGTCTACTGAAGAAGTTCCAGGACAGGCTCTAAAGCTACACAGAGAAACCCTGTCTTAAAAAAAAAAAAAAAAAAAAAAAAAAAAAAAAAGAAAGAAAGAAAGAAAGAAAGAAAGATGCTAGGATTTAGCACAACAACATACAAGAGGAGAGACTGAATTATCACTCACCAAAGAAAATCACACTAAATATTATGGTTCTAAATTTAGTTTTTCAATAAACACTTATCTGGAGCTAATTTTATTAATACACTGAGGACATAAAGATGTTAACCTCCTATGATAATGGGAGATATTAGCCTTAACAGATTTTCTTAAGACTTTAGTTACTGGATTGTTCAAGGGAAGTCCAATAATCTTATTTTCTTTCAAAAACCTGAAAGGTACCTGAAGACTAATTTTTAAGGTTGTCTTCTGACCTTCATGCATCATGAAGGCAAGCACTTGTACCCATGCCTCTACAGCCAAACATACATTTAAAATGGTAAATTCTTGGGGCTGGAGAGATAGCTCAGTGGTTAAGAACAGTAGATGCCCTTACAGAGAACCTGGGTTTGGTTTCCAGTACTTACATGGGAACATCTGTAACTCTAGTTCCAGGGTATCTAATGGCTACTTTTGAATTCCACTGGCATCAGACATTCACATGTGCACATTCATATGTGCAGGTAAAACACCCATACACATAAAATTTAAAAATCATTGAAGAACAATGGCCCCCATAAGATCATATATTTGAATATTTAGTCACTAGGGAGCAGAACTCTTTGATAGGAATAGAAGGATCAGGAGGTGTAGCCGTGTTGGAGTAAATGTGGTCTTGTAAAAGGCAACGTGACTATCATTAGGGTGGCCTTTGAGGTTTTAACAGCCCAAGCCAGACCCAGTCTCCCCTCACTGCTGACACAGATCAAGATGTGGCTCTCAGCTCCTCTCCAGCACCATGCCTACAATGCCTGCTGCCATGCTCCCACCATGAGGATAATGGGTTAAGCCTCTGAAACTGTAAGCCAGCCACAGCAAAATGTTTTCTTTTATAACAGCCTTAATCATGGTGTCTCTTCACAGCAATAGAACAGTGACTAAGACAATCATAAAAGTCAAAAACAAAATAATAAATTCTTCAGTTATCTATCAATATTCCTTTTCAAACTTCCCCATAGTTAAATCATCCTTCTGACTTAAACATTTAAGTTCCTGGTTGTTACTCTATTTCTCAAACCTCTTAATCAGATTTCTTCTCTTTGAATTTACTTTCTTGTTTTGTTTGTTTTGTTCTAGACAGGATTTTTCTGTGTATTCCTACCTGTCCTGGAGCTCACTCTGTAGACCAGGCTGGCCTTGAACTCAAGAGATCTGCCTGCCTCTGCCTCTGAATGCTGGCATTAAAGGTATGCATCATCACTGCCTGGATGAATTTACTTTTTTTTTTCCCTCTTGTTTGTTTTTCTAGATAGAGTTTCACTGTGTAACAGCCTTGGTTGTCTTAGAACTAGCTCTGCAGACCTTCAGAATGGCCTCAAACTCACAAAGATCCACCTGCCTCAGCCTCCCAAGTGTTGGGATCAAAGGCATATACCACCAATACCGGTCTTGAATTTATTATTAAATGTGTTTTTCTTATCCACTTCTATGGCAATATTATACGTATTGTGATTGTAAATTAATCTTTATCATCTACTAGATTGGATTAAGAAGTACCTAGGAGGGTCAAACATTCTGGGGTGTCTGTGAGGGCATTTCTGGACATGCTTAGATCGTAAGAGCTATGACATAATGAACATTCCTTTGATTCATCCATTGATGACTCTCAATATAATTATTAGAAGATGATAAAATTCGAGAGGTGGGATCAGTAAGAGGAAATTGGTTGTGGGATAGTATTCCTGGGGTGATATGTATTGTCTGGACTATTCCTACTTCCCGTCTCCCATGAAGAAGCTCTTCCATATGCTCTTGATACACATAAGGCTAAGCAACTATGGACTGAGATCTCTAAAACTTCAGTCAAAATTCTTCCTTTGTTTTCTCAGGTATTTGTACAGTGATAGTAAAAGTACTGTAAGTATCTCATGTAATTTTTAGTCATATTTTTGTTGTTGTAAAATAATATTGAGTACAAAAAACCTATTATTTTAATCATTTCTGAGTGTACAGTTCTGTGGCATTACATTCAATTTCCATTGTGCAACTATCACCATTATCCATCTCTAGAACTCTCTTCATAATGCTGAGATTCTAATCACTAAACAAAAAAATTTACCTTTGAATTTTAAACTTTTATAATCCTTTCTATTTTACTTATTAGTTTTTAATGTTAGTATACAAGTCAGGTGATGGTGGTGCACGCCTTTAATCCCAGCACTTGGCAGGCAGAGGCAGGTGGATTTCTGCAAGTTTGAGGCTAGCCTGGTCTACAGAGCTAGTTACAGGACAGCTTGGGCTACACAGAGAAACATTGTTTCAGAGTGGGGGGGATAGTACACAAAGTAATAGGCTGCTGATGCTGCTGCAACTGCTGCTTCCTCTTCCTTTTTTTTTTTTTTTTTCAAAACAGGGTCTCACTAGGTAGCTCTGGCTGTACTGGAACTCAATGGCCTCTTAACTCAGATATATACATGCCTCTCTGCTTCCCAAGTGCTGGATTATGCTTGGCCTCAAAGTGGCTTACTTTACATAGCACAATCATTTCCACATTCACGCATTTTCTTATTAATGCCATGATTCCATTTTTCTTCATGGCTGAACAAAATTCCATCACACACACTTTCTTTTATCCATCGTCTAATTCCAGTTCTTAGCTATTACGATTACTGTAGCAATGATGAAATGGGTAAATATCTCAGTCAAAAGGGCTTAAAAATATACCCTAAAGTGATATTGCTGTATTGTGGGATAATTTTTTGTACACTGTGAAGATGTGTTATTCTGATTGGTTTAATTAGAATATGAATGGCCAATAGGTAGGCAGTATCTCCAGGCACAGAGGACACTGAGAAGAAGGGAGGAAACACCAGGAACACAGAGTAAGCCAAATTTTCATAATTAACAATAAGTTTCTGTGTTGTTATTTGGGAGCTGGCAGGCAAAACAGAAAAATCCACCTACATTGCTTGGTCATATCCTAGGGTTTTTTTTTTTTGTTTATAAATTTTATTTTTTAATGCATGTATTTGTGCCCATGACAGACAAGTTTCTAGAGTTTCTACTTCCATCTTTAATGGGTGCTGGGGATTGAACTCAGGTCATTAGGTCTGTGCAGCAAGTCTTCATCAGGTGAACCATCTTACCAGCCCATATGGTAGTTCCATTTTTACATTTCAAAGAAACCTCCATATTTATTTCTGCAGCATCTGTGCCAATTTACTCCTGCCAGCAGTGACAATCTATTCTATATTAAATCATCATATATATGTATATACATGTACACACAAACATACATTTATATATATACATATTTATATGTTAAAATATTGTTCTGCAAACAAGATTTAATTGTCTCCTTACTTATAAAACTGAGGGGTTTTTAATTCCTTTTGTGGGGATTAAGCCCAAAGCACAAATGGAAGGCGGGTACTCTACCTCTGAGTCACACTCCAACCATTAATATTGCTTGTAATTGTTTATTAGAACCAAAGTAATAGTCACCCTTTAATTGTAGTACTTTTAAAACAAACACACAGAGAACACTGTCTCAAAAAATCAAAAAACAAAAACAAAAAACAAGTTTCTGGTAGCTAGAAGATGGCTCAGTTTGTAAAGTGCTTACTATATATGCAAGAGATCCAGGGTTCAGACCCCCACGACCCATGTAAAAATTTGGGCCTGGCTGGGCATTGGTGGCACATGCCTTTAAGCCAGAACTCGGGAGGCAGAGGCAGGTGGATCTCTATGAGTTCGAGGACAGCTTGGTCTACAGAGCTAGTTCTAGGACAAGCTCCAAAGCAATAGCAATACAGAGAAACCCTGTCTCAAAAAATCAAAAAAAAAAAAATAAATAAAAAAGTTGGGACTAGTAATATGTTCTATAATACTAGTGCTGGGAAGGTAGAAACAAATGGACTCCTGGAGTTTGATGGTCACTAACTGAATCCATAAGCCACAGGGTTAAGTGAGAGATCTTGTTTCAAAAGGCAGAGAGCCATCAAGAAGATATCTGGTAACAAATGTGAATATATATAGGCATGTACACCACACACACACACACACACACACACACACACACACACACACACACTTCTCTGGGAGTGGTGTGCATGTGTGCATGCCTGTAAAACCTGCACTCAGGAGGTAGAGGCATGGGGAATGCAACAAGTTAGAAACTAGCTTGGGTTATATAGAGAGTACTATTAAGCCAGCACTATATGGTGAGGCCCTGTATTTAAAAACAAAACAAAACAAAACAAACAAACAAAAAAACCCCCAAACAAACAGAGGAGCTAACAGACCCCCAGACTGATAGCTAGGAAACCAGCAATGGACGTACTCAGACCCCCCTGAACATGTGTCACAGCTAGAAGGCCTGGGCAGTCTAAGGGACCTCTGACAGTGGAACCAGGATGTATCCCTGGTGCACAAAAGGACTTTGGGAACACATTCCCCATTGAGAGATACTCCCTTAACCTAGAGGCAGGAGGGAGGGCCTAGTCCCTACTCCAAATGACTTTGACCAAACCAAACAAAAAAGGTGTGCCAAATTCCCAGTTGACAATTACTGCTGTTTTTAGAAAAATGTCTTGATTAACATCTGCACTTCCAATTTATTAAATATATGCTTTAAAAAAAAGACTTATTCTATTTTTTAGTTATATGAATGTATATGTGCATCAGTGTGTAGATAAGTGCATATGGGTACAGGTGCCAGAGAGACCAGGGGAGTTGGATCTTCTGGAGCCGAAGCTGTAGGCAGCTGTGAGCCTCCTGAGATAGTTGCTGGGTCCTCTGCAAGAGCACACTTGGAGCTGCTGAACCTTCTCTAAAGGCTCCAGAAAATGAGAGTAGCTGACTTATAGTAAGCTAAATAATCATTAGTTCATTTCATCATGTATTAGAATTATAAACTAATTTTATCTGTGTCTGTGTGTATGTATGCCACATGTACACTGGTGTCTGAGGAAGCCAGAGGGTCCCTGGCCCCCTGGAGTTGAACTGAGGGCTGAGGATCTACTATTGGAATAAATCTACTTAGATGATAACCTGGAGTCATTTTTTTGACAAAAAAATTTCTGATTTATTTTGTCTTGTTAGTGGTTTCTAATCTGAATATTCCATATTTAGATGGCAATGAACTGAAAGTTTAAAGGAAAAAAGACTACTACATCCAATTGAGTTGTTGAATGTAAGTGAGAAAGAAGATACAACTGTATCACTTCAAAACAAACTTGATAAAGCACTGGAGGTGGTGGCACACTCCTTTAATCCCAGCACTCTGGAGGTTGAAGGAGGGGGATCACTATGAGGTTGAGGTCAGCCTGGTCTATAGAGCTAGTTCTAGAACAGCCAAGGCTTCACAGAGAAACCCTGTATAGAAAATTCAAAATAAATAAAAACAAAAAAGCCCTAATAAATCTAAAAGCAGCTCTTACCCGGGAAGAGATCTGTACATCTCATGAACACCTCCCAGTAGATGAGTCCAAGTGCATACATGTCTACTTGCTTCAGAGCTGACTCACAGTCCCTCAGGTTCACAGCTCCTTCTAGCACTTCTGGTGCCATGTAGCGAATTGTGCCAACCTGGTAAATTAAGAGTGGTATTTGAAAGAAAAAAAAATGCAACATATCCTGAAGAGCAAACATTAGACCAAAAATAATATGTAAAATTTACTCCTGATGATGATACTATGCATCCCTAAGCAAGTCACTGAGCCCTTAGCTAGTTCCAGGACAGTCAAGGCTACATAGAGAACTGTCTTGAAAAAGCAAAACCAACAAATAAAACCCACAAGGCTGTAGGCTGTTCTGTAGTTAACTGCCTAACGTGTTGCCCACCTTTGCAGTGTAGTCAATAATGCAAAACAAAAACTATTAATTATGGTGATAAAATTGTGAAGCAAATGTATACCACTGAATAATTTTTAAAATTGCAAATCTGCATATATCTATGTGTGTGAAAGCAGAGAAAAGGATCAGAAAGGCTATGTTGACATTGTAACCACAGAGCAGACTTTCCTATATCAAACTTGGTAACTTTCTCTTGCTTCAAAAATCAATCCCTGGCTGGGTCTGGTAGCAGTTGTCTGAAATCTCAGCCCTTGAGGAGAATGGTCAACTCAAGGCCAAATTGGGCTATATAAAGAGAATGTCTCAAAAAAAAAAAAAAACAAACAAACAAAAAAAAAAAAAAACAAAAAAAAAAAACAAAACCAACAAAACAAAACCCAACAAATCTAGTAAGTTCCCTTTTATAACAAACAACAAAAAATCAATTCCGAGATAATTCTCTGTGATGTCTACTCAAATGAGCTGGAATTTTCAAAATGAACTGATCAACTTTACATGGGTTTTTATACAATGTATTTGGTGTTTCCCAATTCTAACTCCTAAAAGTCTGCAGCTAACAGTACCTGGGATAACTGTTGTGAATGGCATGATTTCACAGTATGGCAGTGTGATGCTTATAGACTCACCTCACTTATAGCCGCATTATCTTCTTCCCCAGGGCGCACCAGTCTATTTCCAGTTAGCCTCATGGACAAACCAAAGTCACTAATAACACATGTGCCATCATTTTTTACCAGGACATTTCTGCTGTTTAAATCTCGATGGGAAATTGCAGGTTTATAATGATCTGTTTGGATAATTTCAAATACTTGTTAATGCTTAAATAGAACTATTGGAGATTAAATTAACATGCAGATAACATGTAAATAAAAAATAGAGCTATTTTCAATCCATTAGTGGTCTAAAAATGAGGGTGGGGGAAAAAAGCTGGTTGTCAAGGCACACACCTGCAATCTTAGTACTGGAATGCAGAGGCAGGAAGATCAAGAGTTTGAGACTAACAAGGGTTACTTACACAGCAAGACTTTAACTCAACCCAAACCAGAATGCCACAATTTCAACTTATTACTACTTTCTAATAACTCCTCCTACATAGTTAATCAAGCACTGAACAGTCAACTGACTAGTTCTAATTGTAGTACAAACTTGTCTTTTCTCTCATTTCTTTCTGTTCTTTTTTTTTTTTTTTTTTCATGTTGTGGTTGGCTGGTTAGTAGGCTGGTGGTTTTTCAGACAGGGTTTCATGTAGATCTCCATGTAGTTATGACTCATCATTAAGGAAGTTTCTTTTTGCAGCAGATAGAGACCACTCCACAAAGCCACAACTGGCCAAAAGTAGAGAACGTCCCACCATGAAGTGCCTAGCTCCAACTGATGCAAGCACAACACAAAACCTAAGACTCAGAACATCATGAGAGCTGGAGGACCAGAACACCTGGTAAGAGACTACCTTCTATACAGGACAGGTAAGCTGCACCCATGAAATCCTAACAATATGGCAGCCTAAAGGAGACCTGAACAATGAAGACATTAGTTGATATGTAAACAAAAATGGGGGAAATCTCACACAGCTTCACAATAGAGAAAGAGTCATAGGTAACTAATGATTGCTGAGAGAGGGAGAATCAATTCTCTCACAGAAACAGTCCTTTAACTGGTTATCTAATACCAAGTGGTCAGCCCTAAAATCCACACACTTATGATGGATTCATCAGATGTTTTACTTCTATATTTACTTATTTATTTTTTGGTTCTTGAGACAGGGTTTCTTTGCATTGCTTTGGAGCCTATCCTGGAACTCACTCTGTAGACCAGGCTGGCCTAAACCTCACAGAGATTTGCCTGCCTCTGTCTCCCTAGCGCTGGGATCAAAGGCATGCACCACCACTGGCTGGCCTTTACTTTTTATTTATTATTGTTTTCTCAACATAGGGTCTCACTATGTAACTCTGGCTGTCCTAGAACTTACTATGTTGGCTGACCTTGAATTCACAGAGATTTACCTGCCACTGTCTCCTAAATGCTAGGATTAAAAGCAAGAGCTACTGTTTGAGAAAAATAGCTTTGTTTAAGTAAAAAATTTCAGACAGTGTTTGGCTTAAATCCTTGCTGAATCATACAAACCTTGAAAGAGGAATGAGGATATTTTAAATTCTGCTGTAAGGCTGCTTCTAAAAGGATTTATAATATTTACAAGTAAGGAAACAATGTCCAATGGCTAATGTGCTAAAACACTGAGGCAAGAGCATCAAGTTGCTGACATGGGCAATAACACATCAGTCTTGTACCAGGGAAGGATGTCAAGTAAATGAGCCAATACATTATTCAGAGGAAATTATTTATATATGAAGCATCAGCTAGAAAAGATGATCCATGCTATTATATAATGGAACAAAGATCTAAGAAATGGATACCTTAAAGTCTCCTCACTAAAGAGGTCAGAGACACTACTGGAACAGTGACAGGTTACAGTGTGCCAAAATGTGGTACAGGGAGTAAAAACTTGAGAAACCACAGAGACACAATTTTTGTAGTCATGCTAATTTAGGGGTGCCTGTTATTTGAGTATATATTGAAACAAAGTGAGAAAGCAAATGTATTTAAAATAAGTACTTTGGACAAATAGTAAAAGAATGCATGAAAGCTGAAGAAGATAAATTATAACAGGTAATATAATACAGTTCCAAAATACTGGCCAAGACTGTTTTCCATTCCTATTTAATAACAGAATCCAACATTATCTGAATAGCAATTTACTCAACAAAAACAAAACAACTATATTTAAGTGGGTGAGCATGGATTAGTTAAAAAACAAAACAAAACAAAACAAAATGTGCATGAGAGGAGCTTCTGGAGATGGTAGAGGACAACCCCCCCTTTCCCCTTGCTACCTAGAATATAGTGCAATGGACAATGAAATAATTATGAAAATAAAAGCCACATGCAAAGGATGGTAGAGAAAAAAAATACTGGAGTTTTGTGTCTAATATCATGCTGCCAAACCAGTCCTTGACATTCTTGCTTAATGTTCTGGTTTTGTTTGTTCCCGGGGACTGAACTCAAGGGCCTCATGCACACTAGTCAAGAGCTCTGCACTCTACCACTGGCCTATACTCTTAATCCTCTGTTCAGTTGTTTCTTCTTTCTTTTCCTTTTTTCTTTTTTTTGTTTGTTTGTTTATTTTTATTTTTCCCCCCGAGTCAGGGTTTCTCTGTGTAACAGCCTTGGCTGTCTTGGAACTGGATTTGTAGGCCAGGCTAGCCTCAAACTCACGAGGTCCACCTGCCTCTACCTTCCAGTGCTGGGATGAAAGGTGTGTACCACCACCACCCTGCCCTCCTCCCTTTATAAGACAGCTCTCACTATGTAGACAATAGTGGCTTAGAATCACTAGGTAGCCCAAGCTGGCCTTCAACTCACAATTCTCCTGTTTCAACATGAGTATGAGGATTGTAATTAGTATGTGACATTTTATTTGGCCTCTCTTTAGATTTTTTTTTAAACTGGTCTCACTATATGACCCTGGTTGGCCTCAAATTCAGATCAACCAGCCTCTGCCTCATAACTGTTAGAATTAGAGGCATGAGCCACCATGCCTAGCTCTCTTATTCTTATATGTATATGAGAAAGAAAAAAATGTTCTTTATTAATAAAGCCACAGTTATCTATCTCCTCCCTCCCCCTGACTCTAGTTAGCAGAATATTAATTTATAAAAAGATGTTTGAGTATTACAGCTTATGGAATACCATCCATGTATTATTAAAATGAACACACTGTAATTTATTCACATAAACAAAATAAATACAAGGAAAATATAACCAAGTCAAGAGTATTAACCACACTATGATTTTCCTTGTCTGGTCTTATGATATTAGGGATCAAATAAAGGGCCTTACATATGCTAAGGAAGCATTCTATCACTGAGATACACTCAATCTCAAATAATTTTTTAAAAAATAGCTATATGTATATTCTTAAAATGAAAGTCTTCAAATTCTTAATGAGATCCATGCTTTTTTTTCTTCCTGTAACATTCAAATACATTTCCTCATGATGGAGCTTTCAAATAATTGGCTAATATTCAAATTTTAACAATATAAATTACGGTTTTTCTTCTAAAATATGACTAAAATCTCATTCATCCTTACCTCCTCGTGGTAATTCTGTGTGAAGATAAGCCAATCCTCTAGTCACAGAATGAGCCAGACGGCAAGAGCTTACCCAATCACTTGTATGGAGGCTCAAATATTTGCATAGAGATCCCTATATAAAGGAAAAAGTATACCAAAAAATGAAATTAATGTGCTTCAACAAGGAGAGGTAAGTTAGGTAACCTTATAAAGGATTTGAATAGACTAGGATTCCATGAAGATCCAATGATAATGATAAGGTATTTCTGAAAAGAATTTATGTAAACTTTGACACAAGCTATAGTCCTGCGGGAAGAGAGAATCTTAACTGAGAAAATCTACCCATATAACCCAGGCTGAAGGCGAGCTTGTAGACAGTTTTAAGTAGAGATTGATGTGGGAGGGCCCAGCCCATTGTGGGTGGGGCTACCTCTGGGATGGTGGTCTTGAGGTTTTATAAAAAAGCAGATAATTACAAAACATAGCAAACAAAGAAACAAGCCAACTACAGTGGCCCACACCTTTAATACTAGCACTTGGGAGGCAGAGGCAAGTGGATCTCTGGAATTTAATGCCAGCCTGGTCTACAGAGTGAGTTCCAGGACAGCCAGAGCTACATAGTAAGAGCTATGTAACAACAAGAACAGTCCCCAAAACCAAGAAAGGATGAGCAAACCAGTAAATAGCACTCCTCCATGGTCTCTGCATTAGCTTCTACCCCCAGACTCCTGCCCCTTTTGGGTTCCTGTCCTGACTTCCATTGATGATGAACATATTAAAGTGTAAGCCAAATAAACCCTTTCCTCTCCTATTTGCTTGGTCATATTGTTTCATCCCAGCAATATTAATCCTAACTAGTACAGTGAAAGTAGGAACTTAAGTATTAATTTTTATGTTTCAAATATTAAAATTATGGATGGTTATTTCCTTTTTAACATTTCTTTGGACTATCATATAACTTGGGAAAATTAAAAAAACACAAAATTTTATAGACAATACTGTTACGGTTTATAAGCAGAACACACATGTCTCTTGTAAATCTATACAGTCAGTCCTCTACATCTGCAGGCTTCACACCGTAGGGTTCAATCAAGTATATAAAAGTATTTAGGGATAGGGATGCGGCTTGACGAAGAGTACTTGCTTAGTATACCCAGACCCTGTTTTCATCTCTAATAGAGTTAAGAAAAACAAACAAATAATAACTCCAAGAATAACATTATTTTTTCTTGTCTGATCCCTAAATAAACAATAAAACAACTATTTAACATGGCACTTACACTGTATAATCAAGAAATGATATGAAAGTTATATGCAAATGCTATATGGTATTTTTATGTAAGGGACTTGAATAGCTATCAATTTTGGTGTGTGTGTGTGTGTGTGTGTGTGTGTGTGTGTGTGTGAGAGAGAGAGAGAGAGAGAGAGATGTGTATGTGTTAGTTATCCCAGAAGCAACTGCCTGAGGATACTAAGAGATGACTGTGTATATGTACCTATTCCCCTCAAAGTATTCACCTACAAACTACAATGAGCTTCTGATAAGGCAAAGAGCTTACACAAGAATAAATGTCAATTGGGGTACTGCTAGATCTGATGAAAAATGTCTGGCAAAAGAAACAAAGAGAGAAAGTTAAAGAGAAGAGGGAAGGGTAAGGAAGAGAAGGTATAGGGGAGGAATGGAAGGAGTGAAGAAAAGAAGGGAAAGTTAGAAAAGAGATGAGTAAGGAGAATTATTAGTGTTCTGCTTTAGTTTAATATAGGGTCTTAGAATAATAGCCCAGGCTTGTCTTAATTCACAATCCTCCTGCCTTAGGCTTCTTTGGGTGTTAGGATTACAGGCATGTGCCATGCTATCTGGCTGAGTGATGTATTTGATTCAAATTCTGGCATAAGATCCTTATTTCATTGAAGAACATTACTAACAAGTTTATAAACAAGCAACACTGCTAAAAAATCTGATCAGTAGTACAATAAATGACAATATCTTTTTATGAAGAACTTACATTGGGATAATATTCCATCACAAGCAAATACTCCATGCGTCCATCTGCTGTGAGTCTCTCATCTCCAACTATAAAGCGAGCAATGTTGTCATGTTCCATCAAAGGCACTCTGTAAATGTTTTTTTCATTTATAAAATTCTGACGGTTGGCAAAAGAAAATACTTTTACAGCAACTGGACGCTCATCCAAGGAACCTTTATATACTGCTCCATATCGACCCCGTCCAATCAGCTGTAAATTTGTTTTTAAAGAGGCAAGGTATTAATTCATATTAAAACTGAACAATTAAATTTACTAAAAAAAAAAAAAAAAGAACTATAAAGCCCCGCTCTATGCAGCAGCTCTCTTCTGCTTTTAGTTTATTCCATTACCAAGAAGCAACTAATGTCTATGTAGAGTATGACTGAGGAAGCTCCTACCTGACTAATCTTCCAATACATGATAGCTAAACACTCTGGACAGAATTTTAAAACCCAAGAAAAATCTAAATACACTGAAAAATAAGCAAAAGCCATTAAGAGTCAAAAAGGCATCAAGGCAAAGAAGAAAGGAATGCGTATGGTGAGTTACCAGTTTCCAGAGGTTGTAGCTGGAAGGCAGACTGATTAGCTTTGAGCAGCAGAACCAAAAATAGTACAAGAGGGTCTTTTGAACCAAAGGAGATATTCTGTGGCAACTAGAGCTTCAACAGAGCGAGGAAGAAGTCTCAAAAGGAGAAAGCCAGAACAAGGGAATTCAGGGAACACATGGGACAGATTCTGGCTAAATATAATAACTGAGCTGAGATTTGAGCTTCTGCCCAAGAGACATGTTTGTAATATGTGTCCAACCAATTCAACTTCTTACAAAAACAAACAATAAAAAATCAACATGCAGAGCTGGAGAGAGTCAGTGCTTGATAGCACATATTAATCTTGCAAGGGACCTAAGTTTGGTTCCCAGCAGCCACCTCAGGTGGCTCACAGCTGCTTATAATCCCAGTTCCAGTAGACCCAGCATCCCTTTCTAGCATCAACAGCACTGACTGCACTCACATGCTCATACCTGCATGCACGCACTTCCACACATATAATTAACTTAAAGTTTAAAAAACAAGCACAAACAGAAATTAGTAAGAATCTGGGAGTTCCACAGACAGTATCTAGGACAGAATAAAAATCTACTCAATGCACAAAAAACAATAGTAAAATGTAACCAGTTCTCTTTATTTTGGGCTTCTGGGGACTTTTCAATAAAGCAGGCTAGGGAGGGAAATCTATTGCCATTTCTTTATACATGTTTATTGTATCATTATTTTATTCATTTTTTTGTTTTTGTTTTTGAGATAGGGTCTTACTATGTAGTTCTGCCTGTCCTGAAACACCCTATGTGGACCGGCTGGTTTCAAACTCACAGAGATCTGTCTGCTTCTGCCTCCTAAGCATTGGAATTAAAGTTGTGTGCCACCATGCCCAGCTTTGTATCATTATTTCTTGGTAAAATTCAACACACAAAATAAACACAGCCCTCTGAGAAAAGTGAGCAAAATATAGTTAAGCACATGCCTTTAGTTCCAGCACTCAGAAGGAAGAAGCAAGCAGGCCTTAAACTCTATTGTGAGTTCAAGACCAGCATGGTCTATATTGCAAGTTCTAGGAAAGCCAGAGCTACAGAGAGACCCTGTCTCAAAAATAACATTTTAGTTGGTACTTCTCTCAATGTTGTAAACTGCACATCATTTAAACCTTAGACCTTCTCCTTTACTTTTTTTTTTTTAACCTTGATGTTTTGAGGCAGGGTTTCTTTGTGTAGTTCTAGCTGTTCTCAACTTTTTCTGTAGATCAGGCTGACCTAGCACTCACAGAGGCCAACCTGCCTCTGCCCCCTGAGCTGGGATTAAAGGCATGCACCACCACTATAGCCCAGCTCCTCCACTTTGCTGCCCTGGCTGTCCTGGAACTTGCTACACAAACCAGGTTGGCCTGGAACCTGAGAAAATCCTCTTGTTTCTGCTTCCTGAACACAAAATTACAGGTGTACATCACCATGCCCCAAAAGACTTCTAACTAATTTGCTCCTGAGATACTGCCAGAAGAAACAGTACAAATCAGGAAAGCAGGTAACAACTGTGACAGCCAACAATCTATGCACAACCTCACCTCCAGCAGCTTCAGATTATCCAAGTCCAGAGAAGGCTCTGATGCTGCTGCTTCCATCATGTTCATACTGTGAAGACCTTGTTTTCGATCTCCTAGAAGAATAAGAAAACTTACTAATGTGTAGCCTTCTTAAAATGAAAATGTCACCTTTCTAATATTAACAGTTAAGAAGAGCTGTAGCAGGGGTTGAAACAATTCACTAAAATAGAAATCATTGAAAAATGAAGAATAAAAATGAACAGCACGAGAGCAGAACTCTATGAGATAATTCCATGGTGACTACTGAGTCATCATGAGTTAAAAGTACAAAGTCCAGGGGCTGGAGAGATGGCCCAGCAGTGAAGCACTGGCTGCTCTTCCAAAGGTGCTCAGTTCAATTCCTAGCAACCACATGGTGGCTCACAACCATCTATAACAAAGATCTGCTGCCCTCTTCTGGTGTACAAGCAGAACACTGCACACAAAATACATAAATAAAGTTTTTTTTAAAAAAAATGTGTAAAATCCTAATACCAAATTTTCAAGAAAGTGTTAGAATTACCCAAATGAATGATTAAGTGCTGATTTCCTAAACAACCCATCACACCTAAAATGTATTAGAACTGCTTAGATACCTGATGAGGAATTACCAGCTTCTTCATTAAAGAAAAAAAAAAAATGGCATTATGATTATACAGGTTTAAGTCATTATATTACAGATATAATACTTACAGATCTATGGCATCTGTATTTTGATTAAAAGAATTCAGTGGTATGAAAGTAGCAGTGAGTGGGGATTTAGAGTTAAGTTGTGGTTGGGTAAGTTTAAAACTTCTTGGGGTTGAAGAGATGGCTCAACTGTTAAAAGAGCTTGCTGCTCTTTCAAATGAGCTGAGTTCAGTTCCCAGCACTTAACATGAGGTGGCTCACAATCACCTGTAACTCTAGTCTAAGAGATGCAATGCTAATGTCTGGTCTCCTCAGGGAGCACACATGTCATGACATACAGGCACACACAGACATATGAATAAAAATAAAAATTTTAAAAACTTCTTGTAAAAACTGGGGGGAAATGCTTGTTAAAGCTACAAATGGGAGCTACTATAGCTCAGAGTTTTTGTTTGTATAAACATTTTCCACAGAGATTTAAAAACAAGACAAAAACAGGGCTGGCAAGATGGCTCAGCTGGTAAAGGTGCTTCCAACCAAGCCTGATGACCTTGGTCCCCACAACCCATATGATCAAAGGAGAGAACCAACTCCTGCAAGGTGTCCTTTCATCTCTATACATGAATGACACCTACCATTACACAATAAGTAAGCAAACAAATAAAAAGAAAATTTTAAATAAAGTAAATTCTGATTAAATAGTATGTTTACTAAATGAGACAAAAAGAAGTATTTTTTTTTTACCTGTCAACATCCTGTATCCAAAACATAAGGCGACTATCAAAACAGCTAATACAGAGACTGATGCCAAAGCAATGATTATTGTCTCATCTCGATTAAATGAATGAGGTGGACCTAAAAGAAAATAGAAAAGTATTTTATTTAATTCTGATAAAATAGCTTTTAGAAAGGCTTTATTAATATATAACCAAATCAGCAATATTTTTTCATGAAAAGAAATTACAGAAAAAAATAATCAATTTATGACAGTTATAAATGACATGTTTGATCACATAGATTATCTTACATAAACTTAAAATACTTGTCAGATACGGTCCTAATTATTAAAATACCAACTGGGCACTGAAAGAGTAAGAGTTTATACTGCCTTCTCAGAATCCCGGCATCCACATCACAGAGTTCATAACCACCTGCAACTCCAGCTCCATATGATCTGACACCTCCTCTGGCTTCTGAGTATCTGCATTCATAGACACATATCCTGCCTCTGACATTCATACTTAATTAAAAATATATAAAACAGCAACCATTTCACAGAACAAGACATTTAATCATACAGAACTTTGGATTATTATTATTATTTTAAGGAAGGGTATTTTGCCATGTAGCTGTGATGGTCTGAAATGGCCTTCACAGGCTCCCATATTTGAACACTACATCACCAAGCAACTACTTGGGAAGGGTTAGGAGGTGTGGCCTTGTTGGGGGAAGTGTGTCACTGGGGAGGTGCTCTGAGGCTTTGAGAGGCTTTCTATCACAACAATAGAAAAATAACTAAGGCCACAGCTAAGGCTGATCTTGAACTCGTAGCAATTCTTCTGCTTCTGCCTCCTAAATGCTAGGACTAAGGTTTGCACCACTAAGCCCAGCTTCACATTTTGCTTTAAAATGTGGCTTTGAAACATGTGTTCAGTAGGCTTTATCAGGTTGCTTGACTTTTGTGTGCCTCGTTTCCTTATTTGTGCCCTGTAACTCATATGTCAGTTATGAAGCTTGATGAGAGTCTAAGTGTTTAGCAAAGTATAAAGTTCTATGCAACCAATGGTAATTAAGATCTTTAGTACTGATACCATTAATGAAAAGGACATTTCTTTGTGAGCAGCTAAATCTAAATTGAACCTTAAGTTCAGTCCCTCCACTTGAGAAAAATTTCTCTGACATGAACCCATGTTTATCTACATGCAGAATGGAAACACACTGTAAATAAATTACAAGGCCATTACAAACATATAAACATTTATTTGATGGTTTCATCTTATGGGTCAGATCTTATCTACAGTAAATACCCTTTGGGATAGATGTCCACAAACTAGAATACACCTAGAAGGAATGGTACAAGAATGAAGATACAGATACTCTATAAAGAGTAGAAGCAAATTAAAGTATCTCACACAAACAAAGAGAAAATGGAAGGATACATTTGTCAGCATGTTTTAAACAGTAATAAGGAATAACTAGATCCAAGTAGTATATATTCAAGACAACAGTTTTAACAGAATACAAAACAATTGCTTCAAAGTAAGCAGTCTAATGTAGACTTATTTGTGTTCAAACTATAACTTTCTATAGCAAATAAGAAACCTCAATGGCAGTGTTTCTCCAGTGAATTTATCTCAAATTTTGCACAGCTGTACATCAAAGTGTCAAAACCAGTATTTCTATAGAAAAATACATTGATACAGTGAAATATTCTTAAATTATAAGACAATTACTAGGTACTAGCCAGATGGTGGTGGCACACACCTTTAATCCCAGCACTCAGGAGGGAGAGGCGGGTAGATCTACAAAGTAAGTTTCAGGTCAGCCAGGGTTGTTACACAGAGAAACCCTGACTCAAAAACCAAACAACAACAACAAAAATAGAGATAATTTAAAGTATTTGGGAAGGTATGCATGGGTTGTATGTAAATATTTTGCCATTTCATAGTTTATAGAGTCATGCTTCAGGGCATCTGCTGGATGTGCTGAAGAATGTCTATTTTTTTCTTATATCTCTGATAAAGTTTACTTTATAAATTAGGAATAGCAAGAGGTCGATTCCCAGCAATTACATGGTGGCTCAAAACCATCTATAATGAGATCTGATGCCTTCTTCTGGGACACATGCAGGCAGAACAGTGCATATATAATAAACATTTTTAAAAAGAGGTAAACAAAATAACTTACAAATACAGAGAATAATACAACTGTCAGCATCACTCTGATCCTTTGGAACCATTACTAATCAAACGAACTGAACACAGGCACTGGTGACACATAACCACAGTCAGACAACCGAGGCAGCTATTAAGCAACTACAAGGCAAGGAATGTGTCTTAATCACCGTTCTATTGCTGTGAAGAGACACCACGACCAATGCAACTCTTACAAAAGCATTTAACTAGGGCCCACTGGCAGCAGGCAGAGAGAGACTGGCCTGGTATGGGCTTTTGAAACCTTAAAGCCCACCCCCAGTGACAAACCTCCTCCTACAAGGCCATATCCCCTAATCCTTTCTACTCACATACCTATTCTTTACTTCCTCTTTAACTTTCTCTTGTTAGATCTCCCACGAGTATGTGTTAAGGGATTAAACTATGTCTCCCTCCCCAGTACTCTGTGATGGGGTTTGGAGATTGCACCTTGCAGAGAGCAAAGCTCTAAGGTAAAACTTTCATGATGGGATTAGAGCTTTAGAAGAATTATGTGGGAGGTAGTGGTAGATATCTTTAACCCCAGGACTTAGGTGGAAGCAGTAGGATTAGGGGTTCAAAGCCAATCTATCCTACATAGTGAGTTTGAGGCTAACTGGAGCTACACCAGACCCTGCTTTAAAATATTTTTAGAAAGAAAAAGATGTTTCATTTTCTTTTTTACTTCCAGAGTATCACAATAAACAGTAAACACTCTATCATTGAGCTACAACCCCAGGACCCAGCATGACTTTTTCATGATTCATCTAGTTCTGAATTGTAGAGGGTTTTTCCTCCTACTTAATGTCTTTTTAAGTATAAAAATGTTAACCTTAAAGTACAATCTATTTTCTTCTTTTGTTGCTTGTTATTTTGGCATCATATCTAAAAATCTGTGGTCAAACTCAGTCGTAATAATTAATCCCACTCATACATCACACATTCAGGCATGCTTAAGAATGCACTATGGGGCTGTGGAAACTGCTAAGTAGGAGAGTGTGGGGAGTACATATGTATACCCACCAAAACAAAGCATTTTATTCTCAAAAAACACCAACACCTCTAGCTCTACTCTAGCTGAGAGTAGCTCAGTATGGCACTTGCCTAACATGTGAGAGGTACTGCTACTTGTGAGGTGGGGAGGATTTCTTTCCTAGTGCTGGTGGTTCTAAACACTACGTATTTCTTCCCAGAGTAAAGGTTATTTAAATATACAACTGAAAATGGAAAAATAGAAGCATTAAATTCATTAACTCAAAATAGAGAGGGTGAAAAGGTGTTAAGGGACTTTTAAACATGTTAAATGCCATACTAATGGTTAAATGTCTCAAATTAGGAACATTCCACGTTATGTCATCTGGTCTAAAAACTTGACATTACTGAGAAACTGCCAGGAAAAATACTTTAATATGTGTATCTGTGTGTGTGGAATAAAAGCTTTTAACTGGAAAACTCCTCATTTTTATTTCTTTAAAAATTCTTTTAAAAAAGATCTGTTTATTTTAACCATGTGTGTATATGCATGTCTGTGTGTGGCTATGTGCATGTGAGTGCAGGTGTTCTCAGAGGCCAGAGGTGTTGGATCCCTGGTTCTGGGAACCACAAGTGGTATGAGCTTTTTTTTTTTTTAAAAAAAATAGTAATTCCTTTTAGGTAATATATGGTATATAAACCATACCTGAAATTTCTTACTCTTCAGTCCTAATATACCCTCTTTTTCCTCTTTTAGTTTCTTTGGATAAATAATCAGCCAAACATAAACAATACTAAGCATGCCTATGTGCAATGGCTGGGCTTTCACAAGCAAGAACTTCCTGAGTGCAGAACAGACAGGGACCTGCTGTCTGCCTCATTGGAGCCTGGGATGTTTCTGTTTACAAATCCTGGAGCCAGGCGGGGGCTACTGCTGGAGGCGGGCTGTCTGCTTCCTTACTACACTCAGCTTTTGTGTGGGTCTGTGTCAAAGAAAGAACAACATTGTTACATGTGCAGAAACCAGCAGGGAGAAGTTCAAATAAAACACCCTAGTGGTTATGTCAGCTGCTTAATCTTTAACCACTCTGTGCAGAGAAGCAAGTTAGAGCTGAGACTTTTTTTTTTTTTTTTTCAAAAAAATGTATTTTTTATAAAAGCAAAGGAAAATAGTTCCAACATTAAAACAAGTAATATAAGAAGAGTTTAGTGAATTTCTAAGGTTATTATTAAGATTGCTAAAATAATTCAATGCTGTATTACATAGCTCAGTATTTTCAACAAATATTTTTGTAAGTAATGAATGATACTGACTTAAAATGTGCATGGAATGGTACCTATACAATAACTACAATCAGATTAATGTTAATATATTTAGCATTGTAAAAAAAAAAACTAAATAGAAGATTTCACATTTCTTTTTGCTTTTCAACCAATTTTTAACACTGAATATTTAAGGCCAGTTTTAATTTAACTTGTCTGGTTAAACATTCTGACTAGTTCTTATATCACACAAAACAAAAATAACAATAAACAAAAACAGGCTATGGCTTGTTAATTGTCAAAGACATTTTATGTCTGATTTATAAAAGAACAGGAGAAAAAATGAACACACACACACACAGAGGATAAAGTTAAAACAAACAAAACAAAAGTCATAAGAGAGTAGAAAAACAATAGAAAGCCATCTAATATTTGACCTTTTTACCTTTTAGTTTCATTATTTGTAGTTTCCCCCCCCCCAAAAAAGTAAAAAGGTGTTTTATGTGATAGTATGTACACCTGACTGTATGTACGTGCACAAATCTCTCACAGGAGCTCACAGAGGTCAGAAGAGGGTATCAAATCATCTAGAACTGGAGTTACAAATGGTTGCAAGCCACCATGCAGTGCTCTCTTAATCTCTCCATCCCAGTGTTTTACTTTTTAAAATTACCTTATTCCTTTCTTTTCAGGTACTTAGTTATGAGC